CATGCTCTTAGAAATAACCTAATACTCGTCTGAATTTTCAGGAGTAGACCTTTAAACAGGAGGCTCGCTTATTGACTTGGAGTATGCCGATGACATTGTCCTACTTGGTGAAGACGCTGACAAAATGCAGAGTCTTCTGACTACCCTAAGCAACAATGCAAGCATGTTCGGGATGCGGTTCTCACCATCGAAATGCAAAATGTTGATTCAAGATTGGGTTGCATCGTCACCTGAACTAGTGATAGGGAGTGAAGTGGTCGAACGTGTAGACCGCTTCATTGACCTGGGGAGTCTCATCAGTGCTGATGGCCTGGTGACTGACAAAATCTCAGCTCGGATACAGAAGGCTCGATTGGCTTTTGCCAACCTGCGTCACCTATGGCGTAGGCGAGATATCCGTTTGCTAACCAAAGGACGAGTGTACTGTGCACCAAATCGCTCCGTCCTACTGCACGGATGCGAGACTTGGCCGTTAAGAGTAGGAGATGTTCGTAGGTTACTAGTCTTCGATCATCGATGTGTCCGAAGCATTGCTCATGTATCATGGGACAACTGTATAAGCAAAGCTGTCATTAGGAAACGAGTTCTAGGTAGGGATGGCAAATCAATAGATGAAGTAGTGAAACTTCATCAGTTGAGGTGGTTGGGACATGTGTTACGTATGGCCAACCACCGACTACATTGACGAGCTATGTTTTGTGGTGTAGGAGTAGATTGGAAGAAAGCTAGGGGCGGCCAAACCAAAACATGGCACAAATCCATGAAGTCACTGACAAGTGGACTGAATCATGTTGGTAGATGTAGGCTACCTGGTTGGGGTCTGCGAGACGTAAGTCACCAATGGCTGGAAACCTTAAACGACATGGCTCAGAATCGTTTGCAATGGCGCAGGTGCATCCACTCTTTGTGTTCTTCTGCATTCCTCATAATCTCTACCTTTCTCCTAAATTTACCTTACTGAATCATACTTCTCGAATCATATCTTCGCTCCCTAATCTTATCCATTACTGCTAATACTTCTATTATTGCTATCACTCTTGGATTTGAACTGACAGCTGCGTCTCTGTGCTGATGCGGCATGGCAACCTGAACTGATGTACTTACGTACGAAGTTCTGTGTTGTATCTGTCTGTTTGTCTGTCACAAAGAGCAAAAGTAGCTTGTTGATTTTGCAGCAGTTGTTCATATGGTTAAGGATGTTCAGATAAAACTTATGAATTCAGCAACTACCAGAAATCCGGTCACAATGAGGGATTTCGCTGGATTTATAGAGTGTCATATTGCAGTGTGAAAAGAACCACATCAGTTCCACGCACCAGCATTCATCGTTTTCACGATTCAAATGTGTTTCTCTCTGGAATGCGAAAATATATCGAGAATTTTAACAGAATACCTATCAAACTTCTGATTGACACCGAGTCAGACATTACCTTGATTTCTGGCAATATCTGGCGTATGCTTGGATCACAACCTATCTCACAAACGTCTCACAAACCAGAACTGTATCCAGCGATGTAATAAAACGGGCCGGCAAAACAGACCGTCATGCTTTATTCTGGACTAAAACTTTTTGAGGTAAATGTTACCCCACAAAGTGGCATGATTTAGAGTTTCTGAGAATTGACTGGATGGAACAACTAATATTTTGAGATAAGCCACTGAATCTAATTTGTTCACAGATTTAACTTCCAACTTAGACGTCTAATATTACGACATTAAATTCACTAATCAACTGCTGATGTTCGAAATATATTTGCGTATTTAGCGGAACTCTGGGTTGTTGTACCGTTCAGAAGACAGTTTTATGTCTGTAGCCGAATATCCAACCTGTTTTTAATACCAAAATTTCCAGTTCCATATGTTTCCTTACCTCCAGTAGATAAAGAGTTAGACAGATTAGAGGAAATGGGTGTCCTCAAGCCTGTGAAGTATTCACCCTGAGCTGCTCAAATAGTCATTGTTAGAAAGGCTAATGGATACTTACGTTTGGATGCTGACTTCTCTACATTGGAAGATCATTCATATCCACTTCTTGTAATTGAAGATATCTTTGCTGAAGTATTTTGCAAGGATGGAGGACTTAGCAGATGCATACCTTCAAGTCGAAGTGGGTGAATCTTCAGAACTGTTCTCAACTATGGATGCTCATAAACGGTTGAATCAGTATCGGTGATTGCTTTTCGATTTGAAGACAGCTTCAGCAATATTCCAACGAATTATGGGTACTCAGACTGGTGAAATACGAGGGGTTTCCGTCTACTTAAGTGACATCATTGTCACTAGAACTTCTCAGGAGGGACTGTTTTGTAGACTTGATACAGCCCTGTCAAACTTTGGTCAATCCGGCTTCCTTATGTGGAGATAAGTGCAAATGTTTTTCGCAAACCATCAAGTACCTCGGGTTCATAATTGATAATGACGGACGTAGAACCGATCCTGACGATATCAGTACAACCAGACAAATGGCAGTACCTTAAAATGTTGACGAGTTATGATCATTCTTGGGTACGATCAGTTTCTTCAATGCGTTTGTCCTCTCTATGCATCAACTGAGACATCTAATGAATCAGCTCTTGTCGGATGGTACAAAATTGCGATGATCTGAGGAAAGGCAACTATCGTTTGATTCAGTGAATGAAATATTATTGTCTGATTTACTATTAGTCTACTATTCCACTAAATTAGTTATTTTGCTTAAGGCTGACACCTTAAATTATGCTATTAAAGAGATCACCTCACATGTTTTTTGCGACGATAAAGAGAATGCTATTTATCATGTTTCATGGACACTGACACGAACAGAACGTAATTATAGTCAAAATGAGAAGGAAGGACTCGTTCAAATTTTTTTTGCCATTAAGTTTCACAAACTGTTCCAAAGTAAACGTTTCACTTTATTTACAAACCATAAACCACTTGCAGCGAATTTCAGATTTACAAAAAGGAGTCCCAGTTTACACAACAAACCGTCTTTAAAGATAGGCAGTGATCTTGCTAGGTTTTAATTATAAAAATAAATATAATTTTCTACTAACTCTTTCGGTCATGTGGATGCCCTATCCATATCGATCAGCAATCAGGAGCTGTTGTTTTGGTAGTAAATGACGCTCGAAATATTTTTACATGTGTTGGTCACTCTGTCAATTTAACATCATTGTAAGTTGTAGATTCCAGTGATAATGATCCAACAGTGTCATGTGTCATGTCATATGAAGCTCCTGTGTGAATCTTTCAAGTAAGGGCAGGCACTATATCCGGGAGGAGATTAGAGAAATGGTAACTCCAAGCATTAACCTATGGATTATCATCACATATATTCTCTCTGTATAAAATAACTAGATTATTACAAATTTATATTCTTTTTGTCATAAGTTCCTGATTAACCCGTTAATTAATTCTTTACGGTTTGATAAGGCTAATCTATTTTCAGTTTATAATTCACAGACTCTTTATTCACAACCATTTTTATCTTGCTCACATATAGATGTGCTTTTTGGTTCCATGGTGTGATATGGTCTAGTATATTTGGTATATAAATTACGTTTGCTTGAAGTACACCGTATTTGTTTGGGGCTGGCTACGGAATTCTGGTCTAAAAGGTAGGGTAGACAGAGATAGGCTATCGAGTTGTGGACCAATAAGGATTTAGAAGTGACTCAAGGTTTCTGGTACTAAACATAATCCTGATTGGTGTTTTGTATTTATCATGTGATGTTGGTCAACAGTTAAGGATACAACACATTTCCTAGATATTGTCATTTATTTTGGATTGCTTATCAAAATCATGTCCTTGTTTATCATTTGACAGACATATTTATTCCACGATTCAATTTACTGGAGTTTCACAAAGATACTATAGATTAGTTTATAGTTTAATACAATCACTGTTTCTGTAGTTAGAAGAACTGGAAACATTTATTCTTTTTTATTAAGTAATATTTATTAATTTTAGTTGTGGTCTGACCTTTCACATAGCCTTTTCGGTATTTTCATTGAAAGCATTTTAGTGAGGAGTTTACTGCGTGCTCATATTTTTCCCTCGTTTATTATTATGAATGAATTAGTTAATAAAATATTTGTTTTGGTCATTACTCTGTTGTAAATACATTTTATTTACGACAAGTTATTGTTAAAATTCGGTTTATCTGATAAAACACTAGACTTTCAAAGTTCAATGTGTTCCTTTACTCGTAAAATAAACTGTTTGAGTTTGAGCAGTGTATCTTTTATCTAACACAAAACATAAGGCTGTAAATTGGATGCATTTACAAATAGTCAATACCAGTCAGATGATGACGATTTTTTTTGTTTAAATGCGCATTTAAACAAACAACCCAACATTTTCTGGAATAAGTGAGAGTATAAAATGGAAGAAAATAATCGCATGAATAAAAAATTACCTCTTAGTATGAAACGAATAAAATATTGAGGTTATTAAACAAAGTATTTGAATAACTTTGGTATGCTCGTCAATTGATATGCTTGAATGCTATTACGAGTTCACCGTACGCGGTGAACGAGAGCGAAGACAAATGATGCAGTGACACCGTAGGCTATTCTAATCCGATTGTCCCAGGCCCTGCTAACGATATCAAAAAGCTTTAATATGGAGTAGAAAGTGTATTCTACAATCCACCAGAAAATATGAGGTTGACAAGCATACAAATCGAGTTTATTTGTACATGATGGAAATGTCCTTGGGAGAGCCAAAAAATTAGCGTTCTAAAATACTACATCAACCAATAACAGCCAAAGATTTTCCGGATGGAAAATGTGATCTCAAGGCCAACTGATCCAAAATCAGGACCTTTATCAAGTGAGTTCTGTGGATCTAACGTCCCCAACAAACTTACACTCAACTATGAGTTCAAAATGAGAGCCGATATTCATACATAAATTGTGTTTCTCCACTTGAAGGTATATCTACACTTTTTTCGCAAATCTTTTCTAAGTAACCTTATTAACAATTTTCTTGATGCTCATTTTTTTTAATTTTTCAGATGGTTGGTTTAATACTTGGCTTATTATTGTTAAGAAGTTTTTCGGTGGATGACTATCCAGAAATTAATTTACGTGAAAATGTTTAAACTGTCAAGATAATATAATACTTGTATATACAGATATATGCATCTATTGATAAAATTTGTATTTCTAAGAAATCAAGTGACGGTTTTTTTTATTCCATTCCAGAATACATCAATCTCCTATCCCTCTTTTTTTTCCCTCTTTTATTTTCATTCTCCTCTTATTTCTTGTTTTATTCCCCTATTTCTACTGTTTATATTTCGTGTTCATTTCACTATATTCATATTTTATTTTTCACAGATTCACTTTGTTTCTTTTTTTTTTGTGTGTGTCTCTTTTCAAGTATTTTATTCAAAAATATAATCAATTGTTTTTCATTTGATTTGAAAAAGGCGGATTACATTAAAGAATTGATCAATGCTGTCTTTATAAAATTTGTCTATTATCTGTCTCACTATCAAACAAGGAGGAGAATATTTATGTAAACGTTCTGCTATCATATATAATATTGGTTTATTTCAACGTTTTGTGATGTTGACTTACTTTCTTCTGTATAGTCCTTCTTTTTTTAATCAGTGCCAATCAATTTTAACTTTATTATATTTTCAACGCTTACAGAAGTGATAATTTCAAAAGACTAACAGAATGTAACAATTTTAGTGAAATTAAACGATAAAAAACAAGAACATTAATTTGATCATGATAGGCAATTATGAAATGATTGAAATATAAGCAAGCATGTAGCTATGGTTATATATCACCAAATTTCAAAATATAAAATTTTGACATCTTTTCTTAGCGGTCTCTTTCGTTTGCCTTTATTTTATGCTTTTATCAGCGATGCACTTTCCTGTAAACGTTATTGTTATTTGAAATTTTAATAGGTACTTTGAATGTCTACTCTATTCTGAAGTGATTTTGTTCAAAGTTAAAACCAATGATGTTTCACATTCAATGTAGTATCGAAAGCAACAGTGTATAAACGTTCTGTTTAGAAGTATCATCATCCTCTGAGAAAACACATAACATTTGATTTTCTCCAAACGCTGTCAGTATCTTTCATTTTATAAGAATGTCAAAGAAGTAGAGAACTCATTTCTGTGATTGATTTATGAATAGAAAATTTGGTTTATCTAAGAGGAAATTTGTTATGTTCATCGCATAGTTATAAATCTTTCCCTAAAAATAAAACAATTCTAGGTTGACTGTCGTAAGTTGCACGGCAAATTTATGTGAGAAATAATTTTGTGCATAAGTTTTAATCAACATGGTAAAGTCTTTTAGATAAGACAGTAATTGTGGAATCTATGAGTCAGTGCATTACGCTTTTAAATGAAATATTTGATGAAAAATCGGTCTTCAAATTATCAATTCTGGTGTGCTAATTTAACGTTGCATCCAAAATGTCATTTGAATAATGTCTACATCAAAAGCACTAGAAGATGACAACCAATTTTTTTAAAATAAGTTTCGTTTACGATTATAAACTTTCGCACAAACTGTTTCAAATAAAACATGTACTATTCTCAGGCATGAAATATATATTGGAATGACTAAAACTGGAAAGAGTACAGTAAACAAAAGAAAGGAATACCATTCAGATTGAAACATTTTTTGAACATCTGCTATTCTACATGCCAATATTTTTTTTTATATCTCTGCTTGTATATTTGTACTTTTGACAAGAATTGCTCTATCTTACATGATATTTACGTAGTTCTTTGATTTTTCTTGAAGTTACTCTTTTATTAAGGTATTAAACACGAACTATGGTCTCTTAAAATAAATCTATTTCTCTGATAACGTAGAACATGATCAATTCGTTCATTTTTGTAAGTAAACATCTTGTGGAATAATCATTGGAGGAACAGAAGTTTTATGCAATTTAAATATGACCAGCTAATAATTTGAAAAAAAAATGCATCAACAATAATCAAAATTCCATTTGCACAATGTACTTTTCTTTTACATATGAAAACTGTTTTCTGTAAATTATGTCTAAAACCAACAACAACAAAACCCTCAGGATTAAAAAATTCTAATGGAAGATGAACTTGTAAAAGGAGTGTCTGTAAATATTATGGTTATTGAAAATAATAAAAAACAGATGTTTTGAATTCTAGTATTTTCTTGTACAAACAATAATTTTAGTGTAGAATGAAAAAAAAATTAATGATAATGTATACTGGAATATATATGGAATTAACATAAAACTTACCGGCTGAGATGTTATAATTCTATTTTAGTTCGTTTAGATTCTTCATTCTTACACATTTTGAAATCATAGATCGATCAGTGTTGGATCACTATTAGAAACCTGTAAGCACTGGACGGCCGATTTTTTCCTGGTATGGGACTCATCAGTACTGTGCATTCACGACTACTTCACTTCGCTGGATTCGAAACCAGGACCTTCGGTCTTGAGCGCGAACGCCTAACCTCTGGACCACTGAGCCGATCTCAGTGTCTAACTTCGATCAATTGATGGTCTTGCGCAATCTTGTTCTTAATCAATGCTTTGAATAATTTTGGAGTCAGAAACTTTTTCTGTTAAAAGTATATAAGGTATCGAAAGTAAAATGTTGTGATAATATTTCGCTATGTAGAGAAATTAAAGATATTTAGTTAAAAAAATTGATGAATGAATATCGATATTGGACTTTGAAAAAAATCATTTTTACTTAGTGACATGAAATTATTTTCACAGTGTTTATTTTAACTGGGAACTGAGAATATTCAACAATTCTCTGCACTAAGGACTGTTTTCTGATTAATTAGATTCACGCAAACTAATCATAACGAAAAAAATATTTTGTATGAAAAAAAAGCAAATTAGTATACGGAATTTCATTAGTTTAGTTTTGGAGGTTTTAAAACTTTAAACTATCACTGAATTTTTTATTTTTAGACTCATTTGAAAATTTCCACTTCTTCTAAGCGTTTTAGTTGAAATAATAACTTGCCTCAATTTTTAATAATGAAATAACATAGTATAAATAAGAATCATCAAATAATTTGGGATTTCTAAGCCTCTTAATAACCATGTTCTACAAGAAAACATTTTATGCCATCACTGGACTCATTTCATGTAATTCCATAGGTATAAAACACAATACTTCAAGAGAACGTATCATAAGATGTAATGATAAGTTACTTTTAGTGGTCATTTAGTAAAGCACTCAAATTGGTCGATTTTCGAAGAATTATTTTCAAACAGAAGTTTCAAAACTGTAACTGTTAACTGTCATCAACGTAAACACTTAGTTCCTTTTATCATCTTGAAGAGAGAGAGAGAAAACAAAGATTTCAGTAGAATGAGATGAATTCATTTTATTTCGTTTGATTCTCATCAGCTGCTTACAACTTGTATTATCTAAAATCACAATTACAAACTTGGTTAAGATTACTCATATGAGAGTTCATTTGGGATTTGTAATGATCATACATCAGTATAGTATAGCAAAGGTGTAAATAAAGGTTTAGAAACAAGTGGTTACGTGATGATTAAACGTTGGTAATAAGTAGGAATAAAATGAGTGAGGCTCAGTCAGTTGAAACAAGACTGCTGATCTTCATGACAAACGGAATAAAAGGTAATGATGTAATTGGGTAAAAGAAAGGATTGAACATAATATAATGATGTAATGAAGCAATGTTTATCATCAAGGTAAAGAAAGATTAACAACCATCTCTTTTTAATGAATAAATCAAGTTTCATTTTATTCATGACCTTGAAACATTGCAAGGTATCAACCTGATATCCTGCATTCAAGAGATGTTTCGTGCTTGCACTGTTTAAACTTGACCGTTCCTCTGTTAGAAGGCTTTTAGGATCTTTAAATAATCTCACTTTTGTGATGTGGTAAATTGATTATTGACTGGGTAGGTCTAAGGGTAACACTGTGTTTGTACGCATTCGTTAGACCTTATATATGAGGCAGATATGAACCACGAATTTTCTAGATCATAGTAAGTAGAATTAGTTATCATTTTGTGTTGTAGATTTTCCTTAAGCACACTCAGGATTTGCTTTTCTGTTCAATCGGTTGAATTCCTATTGCAATAGTCCACCTTAAATCTTGGCTGGTAGTTTAGGATTAACTTCATCTTGGTGATATAACCATCTGTGTTAATTAGGACGACCCCCGAACCTCTATCTGGTCGTAGGATCATTACTTCGTCATTTTGTTTAGTGTTTCTTAAAGCCATTAGATGTTCTTTTGATAGAATAGTTAACTTTGATGTCAATGAAACGAAATATTAGTTGGCGATTTCAACTCATTTTGATTTAAGCCATCCCTTCTTTTCTTTATTCACTGAGTACAAACTGGTCGAAAATTTTTTCGAATCGAGCATATGTGTCGATCCTGCGAGTATTTTTTTGAAATGTAAAACTTCAGTTCCAGTGAACAGGCTTCTGTTTCTAATGTATTCAGCTTGGTATTAGATAAGTTGTAAATGAACTTTGATGCATTTTCAGAAAACGTTTCATATAGAGTTGTTTTTTTTATCGGAGTTTTCGATAAAGATTTACTGAAGTTCTTGCAAACAGTAGATTGAAGATCATAGATGAAGCTGATAAATCTTATTTGTTTGTTGACATTGAATTCACTGACTAGTTTCGCCTATAAATATCCAACGTATCACCAAATCGCACATTGAAATAACAAAATTACACATTGGACGACTAAGAACTAAATCCAATGTTTCTGATAAGTTAGAAGCCGCCATTCGAAATTCCTAGTTCGGTGATCAATATAATTAACAGGAAGATTTTATTATGTCTGTACTACATCATGTTACATAGATAGAAAATTGATCCCAATTTTATCAAACCGATCAGTCAACTAGAACATGATTTTGCATATAATTGTATTAAATTTGTAGTCATTTTGGAACTTTCCACTTCGTTTATTAATATTAAATTAGTGATCTTAAATATTTTAAAAAAATGTAGAAGTTTTGTTAATTTTCATGTTCGGATACTTTTAATTCTGATTAACAAACGCAATTTCGTGTTTAGTTTTAATGAAGTTGAAGATTGTTAACTAGATATCTAAGCTTGTATTGATTACCAGCAATTTTTCCGACATATATCTACGCAGACAATTGTGGGCAATACAAATTAAATTTTATCAGACATAGGGATATTCCTTAATTGGTATATCTCATGACTTTTTTATCCAGTCAACAACTTCTATAGAGCTACAACTAAGTTAATCAGTTTTCCAGTAAAATAAATCATTCTTCGTGTGCTGTTTCAGCTGTTCTAAATTTGAGGTTTCGTTTATTATCTTAAAAAAACTCGGCTAACTTCAAATTTTTTCCCTATTCTTTTGTACTGAGCAGTTGTGTTTTCTGTATTACATAGGGACTGTAAAGTGTGAAGGCGATGAACAGAAGATTTTTCGTTTCTCGGCCAAAACTGCTAAATTTTAACTAATTTAAATAGTTTGCTAAGTCGAGTTTCAATAAGCATAAAAGTGTTCTTTCCAGTAATTCAAAATTCAAAATTCCACCAATTGTCTGTAGATAGGAATAGAAATTTACAAATTTAATCCTATAAGCATTTGCATAATAAAGTGTATTTTTTTTCTGATAACTTATTTTAAAACAAATATTTGTACAACTAAAGAGAAAATAGATCATATATGGATAATGATCAATTGTAAAGATAATTCAAATAAAACAATGAAGGTTTATTGATTAGATTTTTTTATTACTGACTGTTCATTTCAGGCTAGTAAATATTCCAGGCATTTTCTATGAAACAACATGAAACAATAATTTGAGCAGATCAT